TAATGAGAAGTTTCATTTGCAGGGACCTCATAGAGGAATATGTGACTGCAATAGCTTTCTAAATTTCATATGCACTTTAAACATGATCTGAGATATAGCAGGTCAAGGTCATTTTTCTCCCTACCTGTGTGTACTATGCTATAATTTTTCAAGTGTGTGTGTGTGTGTGTGTGTGTATTTATATATAGTAGATGTTGTGAATGACAAAGTACAAATGAATTTTCAGAGTTCTTGAATTCAGAATTGTTGGTGTATTTTTCTCAAATTTTATGGTAGAGCCTGAGGAATTTCTTCTTAAATCAATGGATTTCTAGGGGACAGCAGGTTGCATAGTGGTTAAGGTACTGGACTCCCACATGGTCAACCCCAATTTGAGTCCCTGACCTGGTGTATTGAAATCACACTGGGCACATGTGTGAGCATGCCCAAAATTCCAGGAGGAGGCTGGAGGAGAAGGGATTGTGATGTGACCATCCCCTTTTGGGAATAATTTCTCACTTTTCCTCTCTCTGTCTTTCTCTTTCTCTGGCAAGTGCACATGACCTAAGGCAAAAACATCTACACACACACACACACACACACACACACACACACAAATAAGTTTCTAATTCTTAAAGAAGTTAAAAATAATTGATCTAAAGATAAGTGCCTTCCGATTGACTGTAAAGACTTATTCCTCCTATAATGGATAACACTACACAATGACTCTATTTCTTTTTTTTTTTATTTTTTTACATTAAATCATTGTATATCTTTACAACTTTGAAAATGAATTTTCCCAGAACGAATACACCTTATGTTAGTCTAGTCAATGAAATTACCATACACATTGTCATCAACAGACAATTTTCCATTTTTTTGTCTGTTGAATTTATTTTTTCTCCTCGATTTCCACCACCTACATACCACTACATTTCCCATCATCCTCCTATACTGTCTCTGGTATCCACAATTGCTTTCCATGTTTTTAAGCCTTCCAATCTTTCAGTTTCTGCCATACAGTGCAGACATTCGGTGTATGGTAAGTGGGGACATAACAGTGCCTTTCTTTCACAGTCTGGCTCGCTTCACTTAGCATTAAATCTTCCATATTTGTCCACATTATATCAAATGCCAGGGTCTCATTGTATTCTTATGGCTGAGTAGTATTCCATAATATATATGTGCCACAATTTTTCAATCCATTCATCTGTTCTTGGACATTTGGGTTGATTCCATGTCTTAGCAATTATGAATAATGTTGCAGTGAACATGGATGTGCAAGGGTTTTTCCAACTTTTAATGTACTCCTATCCTTTGGGTAGATATCCAGAAGTGGAATTGCTGGGTTGTATAGTAGCTCTATTTTCAGGTCTTTGAGGAACCTCCACATTGTTCTCCAAAGTGACTGTACTAATTTACATTCTCACCAACAGTGCAGAAAAGTTTGTTTTTCATTGCAGCCTTGTCTGCATTTATTGTTCTTGATTTTTTTTTAACCTTAGCCATTCTGACTGGGGTTAGGTGGTATCTCATTGTAGTTTCAATGTACATTTCCCTTATGATAAAAGATGATGAGCATTCTTTCATGTGCTTTTTGGCTGCTTGTATGTCTTCCTTGGGGAATTGTCGTTCAGCTCATTTGCCCATTTTTGGGGGGGGGAGGGGAGAGGATTTTGCTGTAGGGCACATGTACTCACCAGAAAGACTGAGAGAGACAGAGAGACAGAAAGCAAAAAATCACCCCCTGGGGAGATGGCCATGCTGCAATCCCTTCTCCTCCATTCTCCTCTCAGGATCTTGAGCACACACACACACACACACTCGGTGTGAATTTAAGCCATTGGGCCTGGGACTAGAACTGCAGTCGACTAAATGGGAGTCCAGCAACATAGCCATTATTCCAACTGCTGGTCCCATATTTGCCCATCTTTTAATTTATTTTTTTTTTTTTTCTGGTAAGCTGATTGAGTTCCCTGTATATTTTGGTTATCAGTGTCTTATCCATGGGAGAGTTGGCAAATGTATTCTCTCATTTCAAGTGTTGTCTCTTCACTCTAATTATTGTTTCTTTTGCTGTGCAGAAGCTTTTTAATGTGATGTAATCCCACTTGACTGTTTTCAGGATTATCGTCTATGCCTTGGGGGTCTACTCTGATGGCTCTAAGAATTCCTCTTGTGTTTTCCACATGTTTTATAGTTTGAGGTCTTATGTTTAGATTCTTTGATCCATTTTAAGTTGATTTTTGTTAATGGTGAGAGATAGGGGTCCAGTTTCATTTTTCTGCAGGTGGATACCCAGTTTTCCCAGCACCATTTGCTGAAGAGATTTTCTTTCCCCCCCTGGATTGACTGGTGCCCTTTGTCAAAAGTCAGTTGACTGTATGTTTTGGGGTTTATTTCTGGGGTCTCTATTTTGTTCCTTCAGTCTACATGCCTATTTTTGTGACAGTACCATGCTGTTTTGATGATCAACATAGCTTTGTAGTATTTTATGGGGTCAGGGAGTGAGATTCCTCCTGCTCTATACTCCTACTCTTTTATGAGATCTTTTATGATTCCAGACAAATTCTATGATTTTTTTCCTAAATACGTGAAGAATATCTCTAGTAATTTGACTAGGACTGCATTAAGTATGTAAATTAACTTGAGTGGAATTGACATTTTGATGATACAAATTTTTTCAATCCAGGAACAGAGATGTCCTTCCACTTCTTTTTTTTGGCGGGGGGGAGTTTTTTGCTATAGGCCACGTGCGCCTGCCAAAAAGACAGAGAGAGACAGAGAGATATAGTATTCAGTATTTCTTGAAGAGCTGATATAGTATTGGTGAATTCTTTTAGTTTTTATTTGTCTGAGAATACATTTATTTCTTCTTACCATTTGAAGAATAATCTTGCTGGGAATAGTATTCTTGATTTAAATTGTTTTTCTTTTACTGTTTTGAATATGTTTTCCATTGTTTTCTTGCCTGCGTTGTTTCAGTTGAGAGGTCTGATGTTAGCATCATAGGATAACCTTTATAAGTAACTTGATGTTTCTTTCTTGCCATTTTTAGAATCTTGTCTTTGTCTTTGATTTTGACCAATCTAGCTATGATGTTCTGTAGAGAGGATCTTCTTATGCTTATTCTATTCTGGGTCCTTTGTGTTTCTTGGGTCTGGATGTCTGAATGTTTCTCTATATTTGGAAAGTTTTCTGAAAGTATTTTATGGAATAGAACTTCTATGTCCCTGTCTGATTCTCTGCCTTCTGGAATGTATATTATTCAGATATTTGAGTGTTTAATAGTGTCTAGAATTTCCTGTATGATGTCCTCAGCTTTTGGATTATTTTTTTTTCTTGTTTGTGGTTTTATCTAAATCAGAGTAGATTAGATAAAAGATTTAGATTAGAGACTCTGTCTTCTGTGTGGTTTAATCTGCTATTAATACTTTCTAGGGAGGTCTTTATTTCCTGTAATACAGTCTTCATCTCTAGAAGTTCTGTTTGATTCTTTTCTATGGTGTCTGTCTTCTCCTTCAAGTCATGGAAGGAATTCCTCTTCTCTGTCACTATGAATATTATGCATTGTTTTTATGACATTTCTATGAATTCTTTAGTACTGTCTATGGTTCAAGAAGAATTATTTTGTTCCCTTGAGGGAGAGAGATTTCTTTGTTTTCCAATATTTCTTGTGCCTCTGTACTGTAATGTCATGGGTCAAGAAGAGCTCTACTTCTCAGGTGTGTTCTTAGGAGAAGGCCTTGTCTTTTAGTCAGAGAAGTGTTTTGTAACCAACTTTAGGTGTTGGTTCCTTTCCCAATCTCTCAAGACCCAGTGTACCTGGGGCTTAGCTGGAGAGATTCAACTGAAGGACGAAGTAGGAGTCTAGCAGCACATGCTGTGTGCTCTGGTTCAGCAAATTATGAAATTTCAAATTACTTCTGGGCAGGCAGAAGGACCATGTCTGAGGCATGGTTCACCTGTGCTCAGTTTGGCTCACTAGCTTCTGCTGGTCCCTGTACAGTAGTGAAGACTCAGGGTTTAATGGTGGAGGGAGGGTCATGGGAGGGGGGCAGCTGGAGTTGCATCTGCTGTGGACAGAAGGCAGCAAGAGGTCTGAGGCAATCACCCTGAGATCAACATGATTCACTCTCTGCACCGTGCTCAAGACTCGGGGGCTTAATTGTGGAGGGTCAGTCGTGGGAGGGGGCAGTCCAAGTTGCAGCTGGCAGTGAGATGTCACTGGGCAGAAGGCAGTGAGCGGTCTCAGGCAGTCCCTCTGCTCAGTTCGGCTCACTTGCTGCTGCTGGTCCCTGCACTATGGTGAAGACTCTAGGGCTTAATGGCAGAGGAAGCATTGTGAGAGGGGGTGATCTGAGATGCACCTGGGGTGGGAAGAAGGCTGTGAGGAGCCTGAGGTGGCCCCCTCAATAACTCGGTTTGTTTGTTTGTTTTTGTTTTTGTTGTTGTTGTTGTTGTTGTTTTTTAGAGGATTTTGCTATAGGATGCGTGTGCTCGCCAGAAAGACAGAGAGAGACAGAGACACAGAAAGCAAGAAATCACCCCCCAGGGGGGATGGCCACGCCACAATCCCTTCTCCACCATTGTCCTCTCAGGATCTTGGACACACCACCCATATGCCCCGGGCCTGAGTTTAAGCCACCAGGTCCAGGACTTGAACTGCGGTTGACTACATGGGAGTTCAGCGACATAGCCATTCCGCTAACTGCTGGTCCCAAGTGAGAAAGCAGGCCATCGGGTCCAGGACTCAAACCACGGTCGGTCATGTGGAACTCCAGTACCATCAACCACTATGCCACCTGCCAGCTCCCAATAATTCTTTATTATGTCATTTATGATGGACTTTTAGTAAGAAGCAAGGTAAAATTGCATTTTGATTTGACTTTGACAAAAGTATTAACACTGAATGAATACAGAAGCATTATTTGAGTTTAATTGTATGTGGGGAAAAAAATTCTCTGCTCTTTAATACGAACATACAAATGCATTGATTGATTCAATTTCCTTTTTTCTAGGCACTGTTATGTGGTATTCTTGTTACATGTCCTGAGGATCCACTGAGATATTTAGAGAAAATGCTAATTTTAATCATTGAGAATGGTCTTGAAAGTCTTCTTTGGTAAGTATTGTTTTGATTTGTGATAGGAAAATCTTTAATTTTTAATTGTTTTTACAGTCTGTAGTATAAAAACAAGGTCTTGCCCATGAGTGCGTCCAATCTCAAGATTGCTAAAGAATCCTTCTAATGGCTTTCAGGTCCCCAAGATTTAAATATGAATAATTAGTCCACTGCTTCTCAACTTGAGAAATGTAGTGTACCATCAGTAACTTGTTTAGAGGGCGGATTATGACAAGTTAGAAATGAAGAAACAGAGGCACATCCTCCTAGAGGCACACAGCAAAATCTTGTCGTGGCAGAGATAGTTTGAAAGAGTCCTAGAAGTGATTGGGATCTCATTATCCCACGAGAAAATATCTCTTTATCCCCCTCCTACCCCCTGCCCTATACTCTATACACAATAATCACTGATTTTAATTATGAAACTACTAACTATGAAATGGCATCAATTTTTTACTTTGTATTATGATTTTATTAAGGGATATGTGCATTGATCCATCAATGAAACCAAAAATTCGAAGATTGTCTGAAACTTACCTAGAACAACTTTTTGGACTGGATGATCAGCTGGTAACTATTAATAACCAAGCATTCTAAATTATATATCTTAAGTTTTGATGGAAGTTTCTCAATAGATTTTAAGTGAGATCAGATTGTTTTTTGAAATTAGGGCATCTATAAATATAAAGGAATCTTGCACACATACATGTGCGCGCACGCACACACACGCACACACACACACACACACACACACACACACACAGTCATACTCATTTAATTTCCCTACGTTCCCAAGAAGCATTTAGACAGGCATTTGTTAATTTTCTTTCTGATAAAATATTTACATTAAATTTCCCCCTTCCCTTTTCTCCTCTCATGTACCTTTATAGTGATAAAAATAACGTTATGGAAAGCCTTAAAAGAGGATGTTTTCTTTTCTCTCTGATCTTCTGTCTCTTCCATCCCTCCTCCATTCTCTTTGGTATCTGCTCTCTCAAATTGGAATACAGAGAATCATGATCATAAAGACATGGCCAAAACATTAAAGAAATCTAACTTAAAAGCCAGACTTCATTGTTACTGGGAGGAACAAACCGTTCCAGCAGCTGGTTTTTAATTCTATAAAGAAGGCAAGGAAGAAATTTAGGGTATGTAAACTTGTAGAATGAAGATTATGTATCTAAGAGAAGCTAAAATAACAAAAGGCATGTGGGGAGATAAATATCAGCACTAATCAGGTGTATGTGAAAGCATGAGTGATAACTCTCAATCCCAGGGCTGCTGTCTGGATAAGCCCAAGCAGGGATGGGGAGTTGCTGTTGAAACCGAGCATTGAAAAGTTCAGACAAAACAATGGTCAAGGTAAGTGCTGAGAGGCAGGAACAATGTGAAGTATATGTTTAGAGGATGGGTGGAGGGTAACACTAGACCTAATCTGTGGTCTACATAAGAGAAACAGAAATTGAGGGATGGGTTGATTGTGCCAAGCCTAGGCTGATTTGGAGGCACCAGTATACTGGCAGAACCTACATGCCTAATCCTGGTTGAACTGCATTACAATGTGTGACTGTCCTACTAACTGTACTTTTTGATCTACTATGGAGGGCAGCTATCTGCAAACTGTATTCTTGGAGATGTTTGTGGGGAACCTCAGGAACTGAGGAGGAGGCCTAGGGGATGGAATTCTGGGCCCTCCACCCCCAGTTCTATAGAATAGTTTTATTTTCAGTATAATTTTGCTTGAAAAAAGATGAAAAACCATTACTAAAAGATACTAAAAATTTTGAAAACCATTAATGTAGAGTAGAAAACCTTATCATCAATGTCCTGACAGGGATGTTATAAAATAAAGATTCAGGGGCTGAATGATGGCACAGTGACAAAACATGGTGCTCTGTGAGGCTGATCTACATGGGTGTATTCCAGGTTTGTGTCTGGAGACCTCCCTGAGTGTCCTGGGCTTATGTGTTTCTATGGCCTGGGGCTGACTGAAGCTGGGGGTTGATCATGGTGTCAAGATCCTGTTGGGAATTCTCTCTCTCTCTCTCTCTCTCTTACTCTCTCTCTCACTCACTCATGGAAGAAATACACTTTAAAAAGTATGTATATATAAAATCAGATTGTGTCCAACATTATATAAAAGCCTATAGAAATTTTAAAAAGTGCACAGAATTCCAGGAAACACCATAGATACTTCAAACCTAAAACTGTATTTAAAAAGGAATTCTTGGGCCAGCAGATGGTATGGAAGTTAAGGCTCTAGATCTCATATGGCCAGCTGCACAATTCAAGTCCTGTTTTCAGTTGCTGGAAAAACACTTTGGGCACTTTTATGTGCGTGCCCAAAGTCCTGAGAGGTGAATGGAGGAGAAGGGATTGCAGTGTGGCCGTACCCTCTGGGGGGTGATTTCTCAGTCTCTCTCTCTGTCTCTTTCTGGTAAATGTATAGACCCTATAGCAATCTAAATTTTTTGTTTTAGAAAGGAATTTTAAAAGATATTTCATGACATTTAAAGCACAAGAAGTAAAATGATGGATGCTGATCCAAACTTTAAAAAGTTTATGGCAATTTGCCAAGGCATAGAAAAGATGCTCACTGAAATTGAAAAAGAAAATGAGATATGATTTTGCAAAACCAATGAGGAAAATATTGGTTTAGGTTAGACATGAAAATGTAAATATCCAGATTCCTAGGATTGCTTCATTAGAGTGCCCAAGCCAGGTCATATCTAGATTAATTCAACATCTTCAGAGAAAATGAAGTCTCTCTCTCTCTCTTTTTTTTAGAAAGAAATAAAACAGTTTAATACTCATTGTTTCTGATCTTTTTAATTATCGTGCACTGAATAAATATTTGCCTTAATTTTCTTGTATTCATTTCCTATAGAGTTAATAACTGCCAGTAAGAGGGTTTTCATGTTTTAACAAAGCATTTCAAAGACCACAAGCATTGGTTATTTTTCCTACTGATCATTAAGGTTGCATGGAAGGATTTTACAGTCTCATACTAGATAGTCCTGCACAGAGAGAGGACTGCATATATATACATATATATATATGTATATATATGTCTAATTATAATGTTTAAATATGTCTCTTTACTTAGATAAGAGTGAATACAGGAAAATGTGAGTAAGCCATATAGATTCAGAAAAGTAGGAAATTCTCTCAGAAGAGTAGATTTTTTGTGTTCTAAGATGAAAGAATCAACAATTATGAGGAGGAAACTAACTTCACAGACTTAATTCTCATTTCTTAGGTAATGAAATCTCCAGATGGGTCTACTAATTACAAGAGAAGGGATATATAACATTTAAAAATATTTTTATTATGGAAAATTTAAACAAAACATAAAATACCATAATAATACCATAATAATTATCCATCACCCAGATTGAACAATAATCAACATTTTTCCAATCTTGTAAATTCATTCTTTTGTCTCCCTTTTTTGCTGGAGTATTAGGAAGCAAATCCTAGAACTTGAATTGTTTTACCAGTAAATACTTCAGTGTGCATCTTTAACAGGAACTGATAATATTGGAGAATATAAACGTAATGCCATTATCTTACATCATAAGTAACAATAATTACTGAATATCATCTAGCGCTGAATATATTCAGACATATATTCCATGTTTGAGTTTCCCAAATTGTCTCAAATATGTCCTTTTCTATATGGCTCTGTTCAAATCAGAATCCATGCAGAGTTCACATTTCGCATTTGGATGTTATGAAAAAGTATCTAATGTCTCTAGTAATCAAGAACAGTTCTCCTTTCTTAGTATTCCCATGCCACTTATTTATTGAAGGAAACAAATTTTTCTGTAAAATGTCCCACATTCTCATTGTTTCCTCTGGTGTCATTTCACTTGCTCTGTTTCCCATATTTCCTGCAAACTGGTAGATAGATTTAGAAAGTTCATTCCATCCAGGATTTCCTCCCAACCTTTTTTTTTTTGTTTGTTCTTGACAAGAATATTTTATAGAGATTTTGCGTTCTCCCTAGTGCATCACATCAGGAGGCACACAGGGTCTGTTTGATCCACTTTTTTTTTTTTTTGGAGAGGTTTTTGCTATAGGGCACGTGCGCTCGCCAGACAAAGAGAGACAGAGAGACAGAAAGTGAGAAATCACCCCCCAGGGGGGATGGCCACACTGCAATCCCTTTTTCTCCATTCTCTTCTCGGGATCTTGAGCACGCATGCACATGCGCCCAGTGTGAGTTTAAGCCACTTGGTCCGGGACTCGAACCGTGGTCGACTACATGGGAGTCCAGCCACATAGCCATTACGCTAACTGCAGGTCCCTGTTTGATCCACTTTTAATGACTTTTAACTCCTACAGACATTAATGTAGTTGCTTATTAATTGTATTCTACAATGCACTTGTAATGGTTTCAGAATAACAATAATATTAATAAGACTACTGGGGCTGGCAAGTGGCATGGTGGTTAAAGGTGCTGGACTACCACATGGCCTACCATGGTTCAAGTTTCAGACCTGGTGGCTTGCTTTCTCACTTCCTCTCTCTCTCTTTCTCTCTCTGTCTCTCTCTGATCAACCTGAAAAATAATAATGATAATAATAAATAAAGTTAAATAAAATAATTCTTTAAAAAAATAAGACTACTAAACAAGACTACTAATGCAGTTTGAGAAAATTAAGCAATTCTTTTTACCTATATCCTACCAACTATTTTCAGTAAAATAATACTTTTATCATTACTTAAAGTACTGATTTTTTTGGTGTGTTGTTGATCATTTATTTTTCTCTTTGGTCTAATTAAGCTTTTCCAATTATGTATACGATTCCATGGCAGCAAAATAAAAACAATACAGTGAGTATACAGGGAAGTATTACTTCCTTTTCTGCCTCTCTAGCCTCTCTATTCCATCCTTTCTTCTAGGTAACCAACTTTAGTAGGTTTTTTTTGTTGTTGTTTTGAGAGAGATTTTTGCTCTAGGGCATGTGCACTCACTGGGGAGACAGAGAGACAGAGGCGAGAAATCATCCCCCCGGGGGGATGGCCATGCTGCAATCTTTTCTCCTCCATTCTTCTCTTGGGATCTTGGGCATTCATGCACACACTCCTGGCTTGAGTTTTAAGCCACCAGGTCCATGACTCAAACCACAGTTGACTATGTGAGAGTCCAGCGATATAACCACTGTGCCATCTGCTGGTCCCAATTTTAGTAGTTGTTTATCTTTCCATTGTTTCTTTTTGAAAAATGTGAGCAAATATTCCCCTCTCCTTTGACTTCTTACTCAGACATAGAAGACCATATACAGCCTTCTGCTTCTTGCTCTTCTCACCCAAGCTGTCCACAGAAAATCACTCTCTTACACATTTAAAATGTTGCTATCACAAGGGCGTATTGTGTAACAAAAACCTAAAATCTTAATGAAGGATGTGGACTTGAAAAGTATTACTGATGTATGGATGAGCAAGTAGCGTGGTGGCTATTATTTGAGTCCTGGACCTGGTGGCTTGTTTTCTTACCCCCCTCCTCTTTTTCTCTCTCTCTCTGGTGAGCACATGTGCCCTAAATCAAATTAAATAATAATAAT